GTCGAATACTCCTACAATACACGATGCTTATCAGTTCATGAGAAGATCACAACAATCACAACGAGCTACCCTTTCTTTCCTGTCACTCTCACCTCTGGAAAGCATCCGTTGGGATTTTTTTGAAATATATCTGGTTGGAGCAGCACCTCAAATCTCGGATCGGAAATGCCATGACGAACGATGGCCGGGCTATTTCTTTCGCAAGCTGGGTGGTGTTGAGTAAACACCAGGTTGGTTTGTGAGGGGAGCGTCTCGACCAGGGGGTTGAGAGCGTTGGGCCTCTTGTCTTGAAGCAGGGGAGCATGATGGTGAGCATTAGCCGCCGAAACCGTAGAGGGTGCGGCCCTGGCGCTTGAGGGCGTACACCATGTCCATGGCCGTCACGGTCTTCCGGCGGGCGTGCTCGGTGCAGGTCACCGAGTCACGGATGACGTTCTCAAGGAACCCCTTGAGCACGCCGCGGGTCTCCTCGTAGATGAGTCCCGAGATACGCTTCACACCCCCACGGCGAGCCAGGCAGCGGATGGCGGGCTTGGTGATGCCCTGGATGTTGTCGCGCAGTACCTTGCGGTGGCGCTTGGCGCCGCCCTTGCCCAGACCCTTACCACCCTTTCCGCGTCCAGACATGTTTACTTGAGATATTCTTCTTGGGAAGAGAAAGAGGGTTGTTGTGACCAGGTGTGGGCGAGGGCGAGGCAAGAGTTATTATGTCCTGCGACGTCCGGGCACATCATTACGCGAGCGGGAACAAGATGCGCCACGTTGATTGGTCGTGTTTTGTTGCGTGCAGCTTTTAAATTTCTAATCTCGCCGCATATCCCACTTGATTGTTGTACAGAACGGGCCCGCAATTAAGAAATTTTGCTGAGAAAAATAAGCTCAAATGTTCGCTAAAAATATGAGAGAGGGGCTAAGAAGCTCAGCTCAATCTCGGCCACGACATAAGAAACGTCCCAATAAGAAACATGATCGTGCGATACCGCGAGACAAAAGAAACAACGGATGGATGGCTGAGGAAGCGTGTCCAATAAGAAACCTCCCATGGTGCTGCCAGCTCCCACCACTATCTATGCTAGCTCATCATGTACTTTTTCGGTAGGGGGGGGGGGGGGGG